TTCAAAAAAAAAAAAAAAAAAAAAAAATCGACTCCAAATTTTAAATTAATAATTAAACCAATTAAATAAAAATTAGTTTAAAACGGTTAATACACGATTATTATTATTATTATTATTATTATTTTTAAATACAGGAATTAACGTAATCTTCAAAAAAAAAAAAAAATGTTGGAATTAAATGTGGTTTTTCTTTTTTTTTTTTTTCTTATCTTTATTGAATATTTCAAATAACGATGAATTTTATGTTTAAATATTATACATATTAGTCAAATATTTTATAAATATTTACATACGCCTATTTGTGTAATTATATATTCATCATTCAATATTTTAATATATGTACCTATATTTATATATATATTTATTTGATTTTATATTTGAGTGATGGAAAGTTATTGTAATCTAATATTAATGGTTTGAATAGTTTGATTTAAGACGGTCGCACATTATTATTTTAAACAACTTAAATAGTAGTTTAAGATGACATTATTATTATCTTAAATTTAATTTTCATTTATTTTTACCTTAAAATTGTGATATTTTTACATATTCTTCATATTTATCTGTCACACTCAATCATAATTTTTAATGTAAAATTGACATAATTAATTGATTTGAAAAGAATTTTCCACAAAATGGATAATTAAACAAAAAGAGGACAAAATGGCTATCAAATCACCATTTTTGAAATTGTCATTGGTTTGTTTTTAAAATAAATTATACGAGCATCTTGTCAGTGAAATGAGCAAAAGCAAAAGCACTAACAGACAGAGTTCATTTATTAGTGGAAGTTAGTCTTACACCAATTTGGACTTGAAAATTTTAAAAACGGGTTGTCGTTGATTGATTGATCAAGACCACCACTTAAACACGAGATTGAATGTTTAATAGAGAACCTTCAAATATCTTTAGAAAAATCAATATTATTAAAGATTTTCTTTAAATTTTTAGAAATGTTAAGATAAAAACTAAAATTTTAAAGATTTCAAATAATTAAATATATATTTAGTCTACAATAAAAATAATGATAATAATAAAGAGAGGTTTACGTAATGGATCTGAATTTGAAAGTTTTGCAATGCAACGTCAGAGTCAAAGCTGAAGCAGTTAGGGGGCGGTGGTTGCTTGTACATCCTCGCACGATCTCCGGCTGTGCATCGTTGTGATGCGGATGCAATGCACTTGATTCATGCAAGTTTGCAAGCTGCTTATGCTTAGGGCACTGGCTGCCAAGGGCTGCCGTCTCCTCGGCATTTACTTTTGACCAATATCTTCCTAAGAAAACCCCTCTCCGGAGGGAAACGTATCTCCTTGATTCGGACGTCAATAGTTTGACGAGTCAGATCGATATCAACAAGGTATACTTTTCTTTTCGGGGATTCTACCATAAAAAATTTTAAAGTTTTAATTGAATTTAAAGTTTCGGGGATTCTGTGTAGTGTTGTTCCAGGGAGATAGTCGTTAGAGAATTCTAGTAAAAAGCTACCAAATCCTAATCTGAATCTTGAACATGAGATACTAAATTAATCGATCCTAAGCTTAATTTATGTCTTAAAAGATTCCTACCCTATAGACAGATAAATATTCAATAAATATAGAGCAAGAGATTCAATTTCAAACTCTGATAAGAAAAAATATATATATGTTTTAAAAAAATTAATAAATAGGTTTGTGCACATATTAAAAAAGAGGGAAAAAAACCATATTATTTGTATTTAGGTTTATTTTGGTGGTCTTATATAACGTTACTTACAGCCCTTCCCCATTTTCAAAACGTTAATTACATCACAAAAACTACTGGGGAATCAATTGACACCAACAAGATAATGAACAGTTGGCATATGAACAAGAACTTCTTACAACAGCTCAAACTGGTCTAAAATCTATAGTAGATAACAAGAGGCAATCATCGAGAGACGACCTGTTCTTTTATCAATCTCTTGAACTAGCCTTGTCGTGCGCTGTAGGCGACTTGGAAGCGCTGGAACTCGAACTGCTACCGATCTTTGAAGTTGTCCGGTAACTTCTCACCAGGGGAACCAGTGACTGGACAACGTCGACCATCAGCGGCCTGTAATCCGCCTCTGGTTGAACACACATTGCTGCGATTGCGGCTACTTGAACAACGTCCTTCATGGAGTACCGACCCTCCAATGCAGGGTCCATTATATGCATCACTCCCTCCCTATCAGTCAGCCTCGGCAGAGCCTGTTGGGCGACATCGTTCGAATATAACGAGAAATAATTATTGAAATTTAAGACATCAGAAGCCAAGATTCCGAGTCGTCGAGGCTAGTTTGAGAACTTCGATCACATATATATATATATCTACTTCTTCTTTGGTCATAAGCAAATTGAAATGGTTAAGAAGCTCACCCAAGAAACAAGGGAAGCTTCCCCAGGAGCTCTCTTTATATCAACTGGCACTCTGCCTGTGAGCAGCTCCAAGAGGACAACCCCATAACTATACACATCTGACTTAGTTGTTAAATGCCCTGTTAGAGCATACCTGCAAGAAAAAGTGACCTTGAACTTCAAAAACGCTGAAATGCAAAACAACCTATAAGAAGGCATTTCACTTGTGCTGGAAAAAGAATCAAACGTTTTCGTGAAAAGTTCTCACTCAGGGGCAACATATCCTTGTGTCCCCAATACTCGAGTGGAGACGTGACCACCGGCTTTATCTGAGCCGATCTTTGCCAATCCAAAATCAGAAACCTTAGCATGAAGATCTTTGTCCAGCAGGACATTGCTGCTCTTGAAATCCCTATGAATTACAGGGTGGCTTACATGTTCATGTAAATACTCCAAACCTTTGGCAGCTTCCAGAGAAACTCTCAGCCGTGTTTCCCAGTCCAACTTAACGCTGACGGAATTTGATCCTGAACTTGAAATTTCATGAATTAAAATACAAAAGGAAAATTCATGTGCTACATTGGCAACGAAACTCCAAGGTCTATGTGCTCAACTCTAGAAAGGGAAGCATCTTTCCCTTTCCTTTGAAGGTGTGTGGGAAGGACAACTAACGGATAGGTCCAATTAAATTGAGCTCATGTTGTCTTTTGGATAACCGGGAGTCGAGCTTTGCTCCCCTATACCTGAGGCACCAGCGCCTACCTCAAGGTCTAGACCCAAAAGACATAATGTAATGGTCCAAGCCCACTGCTAGCAGAAATTGTCATCTTTGGGCTTTCCCTCAAGGTTTTTAAAACGCGTCTGCTAGGGAGAGGTTTCCACACCCTTATAAAGGGTGTTTTGTTCTCCTCCCCAACCGATGTGGGATCTCACACATAAGGCTTTTGGTATTAAGCTCACCTGAAGGTTCAAACTTAGGACCTCTCTAAGCCAGTACGACCAAGAGACCCCAAGCCCTTGCCAACAGGGCCAATTGAGCTAATGTTGTTAAAAGAATCAATTTTCCAAATAAATCTTCTACTACTTACTCCTAACAGGGTATAAATGTTCTTGCAGACCGCCATTCACCATGAACTCGTATACCAGCACTTTATGATTGTTATCTGAGCAATACCCAAGCAATGCCAACAAATATGGCGAATGAAGCCGACTTAACAAGTCCACCTATTGACAAGGTTATCAACTATTCAATAATCAACTTCTAAAAAGGCCTACACGTCTTGTTTAATGTACTAAAAGCACGTCACAACAGTCCTTTTCAGTGAAAACTAAGCCCATTTCTACTAAACAAAAAGAGCCAAAGCATACAAAATGAGTATATGGAATTACCTCCACTTTAAATTCCTCCTCTCCCTGCTTCCCTGCTTGATCCATAAGCTTAATCGCAACCTTTCGCCCATCGTTAAGGACTCCCCGATATACACACCCAAAGCTACCATGCCCAACCACATTTGACTTGCTGAAACCACCGGTCGCTGAGTATAGCTGCTTGAAGGTGAACAATTGGAGGCCTTTCTCAGTGGAATTTTTTTCAACATTTTCAAAACTACCTTCGTCCTCAAGATCAACCCCTTCAAGAATTGAATTACCAGCACATATCAACTAATACCTCATCAATTTTCTGATATATGCAGAAAAACCAAAAGTTTAAAAGCTTATGCCAAGTTAAACTAGGAATCAAATCATTTGAAGCATAGAAGCCTATAGTAGGCGACAAAGTACTAGTGATTTCAATGGCTTGCATTATTTTCTTGTTTTGATAAGGAATAAAGTTTCAAGAATATTGGACAGTATCACGATTTCTTGATCCAGCCCAATCAATTTATTACATGGTAAAGGAAAACTATAAAACTTCAATCTCCAAGCATTTTCACATAATAAGACTAAATTATATACTTCAGAAGCTTAAATTTCCTTATACTACATTAGCTAGATCATAACCATCCTAGCAATTAATGAACAGCGTTAAAGGAAATATAGAATTGATGCACTAACTACACAACATCACACAATATCCTCCTTAGTCAATAGTCATTACTGTTGTGCCGACAAGTTTTGTTCATATGGAAGAAGAAATTTCAGAAACATAAAAGCCATAGGAGAAGGAAATGAGGCGTACTTTTGCGGATCTTGAGGCGCTTGGAGACCTTGTGGCTGATATAGCAGTAATAGCTGAAAGCGACGAGCAATGAAACGAGAGAGAGGGAAGCAAGTACAACGATTACCACAAGAACGAGTAGCTCTTTTCTTCTGTGATCGTCTTCAACTTCCATTTCTCAGATCCAAACACCGAACCCCGGCCCCTCGAGCAAGCGAGATTTAAGAATTTGGAGGAATGGCGGTGAAGCAATGATTCAGTTTTGGAGGTTTTCGTATTTTAGAGAGACTCTTCTCACCCACTCTCGTTCCGTGCCGTTTTGTGTTCTTTTGTTTTATGGCGCGGAGAATAGTAATTTTTCAGAGGTTTTTGCAATGAGGTCCCTGTTTTTCTCTGATATTACCGCTAAGCCCTACCCTTTTTTTTTTTTTTTTTCTTTTTTCTGAACTTATATAATTTGGCCAATTAAATTCACGCATAACTTAAAATAATGCTCTAAAAAAACCTTGGATCAATGAATAATTTTATTTTATGTAGTGCTCGTTTTTTTATCAGAAGCTTTTGATTTAGTTTTTGATACAAACAATTCTTGATTGTTGGTACCAAAGATAAAGCAGCGGAGCAGCGGATTCAGTAGTCCGGGCTGCAACAAGGGCCCAATGTCATTATGTTAATAAAAAGTGGCTCGGGGGATGTTAACAAATTGGTCTACTATTGAAACGAGACTTCATAAGTTCAGGGACTTGAGAACGAAACAAAAGATGGGGGGACTCAACCGTCTTCCGAAAAGGGATGCCGCTATGTTGAAGAGACAATTATCTCACTTGCAAACATATCTGAGCGGGATTAAATATATGACGGGATCACCCGATATTGTAATAATCATTGATCAACAAAAAGAACTTCGGGCAAGAATGTATCACAAATGAAATCAAATGAAAATAATTAATAATCAATAAAAGTTAATTTATTGGTGAAAGTTTATATTATAACTTTGAACTTTTTTGTGACTATAACAACTAAGAGCATGGAATTTGAAGATGCATTAACTATTAACTACAGTTATTTAATGGTTACAATGTTAATATATCTTTATTTTAATCATAATATGAAAATTCTATTCCTAAAGTTCGAAAGAATATTAGAAATAATATTTCAAATAGTTTATTTAAATCATTACAATAATATTAGAAATAAAAATAAAATTTAACTACTAATTAACCTATAATTAACAACTAAATTAATACAAATAATCCATAATAACTATAATTAACCTATAATATCTTGGTACTCCAAAGGAAATCCCTTTTTACCTAAAGAGAAAATTTTCATTCAACAGATATCAAAATATACTTAAATAAGCGGAACGCCCTAAGAGACCTGACTAACAAAAATAAATAAATAAAACTTAAAAATATCTAATGGGGACGACAATAAATTCTAATCCGTTAGTTCTCATGTGTCAGTAATTCGAAGTTCGTAAATAGTCTTAGAGATATGAAAACCTGAAAGAGAATGTAAGTAAGTGCAAGAAAAGGACCCTAAGCTATGAGAAATTTGACAAAAATGGGAAGGGAAGGTTCAAAGCCTCGAAATTCAAAGGGATCAAACGTAGGCCGACTCTCCAAGCAATAAATCAAACATATCATCGGGAGTAAGGAAGGTTGTTCCACCAACAATGAGTTCTATATCTGGCCTTCCACTGTCAGACAATGCCTCCTGAGCTTCACGAACCTGATAAAGAGTATAAACATCACCATCCAATCTGATCGACTTTTCGATAAATAGATGATGGGTAGTTGATGTGCGTGTTAGTGAGACTAAGGGAGAGAACGTGTCGTGTGTTCGAGAGAAGTGCACATAAGGGAGGAAATTATTCAAGGTGGCTACACTTCTCCATTGAAGGTAGTCTCTCAAACTTTCGAGTTTCTATGATTTGTGAATTGAATCGTAAAAAGTGCTTAAGAACTAAGTTTCTATGATTGAGTGTCCAATAGATCTTGAACTTTCAATTTTGTATCTAATAGATCTTTGACTAATAAAGTTCCAAGGACTTATTAAATACAAAATTAAAAGTTCATGGACCAATTTGACACAAATCTAAAGTTCGGGAATTAAATTTGTAATTTAACCTACAATATCTCTCTTTTATGCATCTACAATATGAGACCGTCCGTTATATTATTTCAACCCCTCTTTGTAACAACCCAAGCCTACCGCTAGCCGACATTGTCTTCTTTGGGCTTTCCCTTTCAGGCTTCCTCTCAAGGTTTTTAAAACGCGCGTACTAGGGAGAGATTTCCACACCTTGATAAAGAATGCTTCATTCTCCTCCCCAAGAGAGGTGGGATCTCATGTGGAATAATTTCTCGTAAGTGAGGAAAAGAGAGAGTATACGAGTGAGGGAAAGAGATGGTACCTCAAGACCATTAATGCCCCCAAGAACAAAAACCAGAATGACGTTTTGATCAGCAAGGCTGGGTTTTGCCTGAAAAAAACAAATAAACATAACATTTTCAGCTCATTTGTATAAGAAAGCTTTAGTTTTAATGATTCCGCGAACCAAAACTCACTTGTCCAAGACCAAATCTTCCGAACCCACTTTTGAAAAGTCTCCCCATCGTGGAGGAATGGTACTCCAAATTAGGCAAATCATGCTTGTTTAAGATCCTAGCCAGAAGCTTATAAAGTACTCCTTTATTTGCAAACTGATCACCATTTAAGATATTTTCCGAATTTAACGTCTCCTTCAACAGTAAATTTCTCGTCTTCGTACCGGACAACTTGTGAAGCGTCTTGAAAAGACTATCCACCCGATCGCGCAACTCTAACTTCAGCTGCATATCATCATATACTTCCTCATTAGTAGTGTTATTATCAGCATCTTCATCACCCCAGCTCTCCCACTGATCATCAAAGTCGTCGTCTTTTATTTCGCTCAATGACGTCTCTTTTGTTCCCTTCGATTTGATCCTATCTCGGTTCGTCTGAAGCTCTTCTGTTAAACCATGGAGAAACTTCAATTCTCCACCCACTGGATTTTCCAAAATTGCATCAGTAATAGCTTCTTTCATGAAATGCTCCTCTTGCCAAGAGAAAGGACCATCGGACCCAGATGTTGGGAAATTCTCTCCAGCCAGTATATAACCAGTAATTGTAAGAAGCAAAGCATCTTGAAATGAAAGAACGCCCTTTGAAGATTCAGATTTACCCACCAAAACACTTTTGTTTATAAGATCAACAATTTGTGCAGCCAGACCCTGGATAGTATCTTCAGCACTTGCTCGCAATACTTTTTCGGCACTGCGAAAGGCATCCCACCGTGTTCTGTTTGATTCCTCGATCGCAACTGTTGCAGCAGCTGCTAGCTGAAGAACACCTTTATTTCTCAACAAACAACTCTGGCTTTTAGCCAATGCCTTGATCATAGATTCCAACTCCAATTTGGTAGGAAACCCAGCACGAATTTTCCCATTCACAACAACGCTTTCCTTGCGCATAGTTTCTTGTAACCACTTCTTTATCAGCACAGTTGCATCTTTTATTTTCCTATCTAGTATCGCTTCCAAGAACGGAGTTCCTCGAAAATTCTCGGAAGAGACAAAACAACCACTAAGTAGTTCAGGGTCATAGATTGGTGATTGCAGATTTTGATCTCTGTTGCTTTCACCACTCTTATCAAAATTTTGGGAACTTGAGTTTCCAGAATTCCAACCAGACAGAAAAGCTTCAATCCTTGCTCCAACCCGAAATTTATCAGCTTTACCTCCATCTTCAGTAAGAATTTCTGCAAATGGTATCCGAACATCAAGAGGTGCTCGTCTACAGATACGTGGTTCGTGTTTGAGGGACGCTTCTGGACCTTTGGCATGGGTAACAGGTGCCATTCTTTTTCTTCGTGGCAATGACAAAAACATGCTGTCTACAAGTGAGTCTCCATGACAACAGGGAGTAAGAAGATCAAGAGTGCGATCGACTAATAGGAGACCAGCTGATTTCTTGCGTCGGCCTACATCATAAAGACTAGACATATCCGTCAAAAGCTTTCCAACGGTTTTTGACATATCACCAATGGAAAATATTTCCATCTTCAAGTCCATCTACATTATTCAGAAAGAAGAATCATGGCCACTATTATAAGGAAAAAAATAAACTGATCCTCCACGATTATGTAATAATTAACCAAAAATTTCTTGTCATCTGGTAAATTAGTAGAATTTCTATTATAGATTAGTCAAATTTTACTTCCTTTTTCAAAATAGCGTCCACTTTGAAATGACAGAAATTCTCTTATAGCAATGAAGAGAAATATCAAGCTGGAAACCCATGATTTAAAAAAAAAAAAAAAAAAAAAAATCCCTCAATCTGGAAAAAGGGCCAAAGAACTCGTTGAATCTTCGAATATGAATCAATGGTTTTAATCTATTCATTCAAAGACCGAAGACAACTATGATGGGAAGGAACCAATACGCTACATATTCGAAATGAAATAGATATCAGATGGAAAATACCATTAGTGCTGACAAAATTCCAGTTAAGTCATACTAAGGCATCTAGTTCTAAACTTCAAAAGTTTAGGCACAAATGATAAACACAAAATTCAGTTGGATGTAAACAAGGAGGGCCATTAACAAGATTCTTTGTTCAGCTTCAATAGTAACTTAAAGTTCAGTCTTTTTAATGTTGTTTGCGAAAGACGGGTAAAACATACTTTCATAGAAGCTCATGACATAAAAGCCATGAAGATGAAAAAGAATAGGGAACATTTTCACTCAACCATGAGCAGAGTAATTACCTTGGCAGCAAAATGGTAAAGAAAATGTGCAGTAAGAGTTGCCCCAGGAGGAATATCATCGGCATCAGGAGGCATCCCAGTATATAAGGGTGGCAAACCAGGACTAAGGGAATCGACACTTTCTGCTGATAAGCATGCTTCAGCAACTAATCCCTCTGAAGGCAAGACAAAAACTCTGGGTGAAAATGGACACAAAATCATTGGGAAGTGATGCACAGAAACAACGAGCTTTTGCCCTACATCTTCTCGGTGACTCGTCAGAATGCCTTCGTATGAATTTCTTCCACTTGAACTAGCTTCTACGTGAGTGATGTCCTCTTCACTTGAAGTGAGTCGCGACCATCCTTCATCTTCCGAGGATATATATTTTTCCGAGTTCCTGTCCTCCGACAGCACAACTTTTTTTTCACCTTTCTTAACAAGTTCCTCATAGTCCTGAACAAGTAAAGATTCATACTCATGGAATGCATCTGGTCCCAGAGGTGAATCGGGGTATGCCGAGTGTGCAACCTGCAAAGTATTT